TGGAATTAATATGAGAAAATGAAAAAATGGAAACAAAGTCTTTGTAAATAGGGAGGGGTGGAAGGGTTGAAGGGAGGGCAGGGGAATGAGGAAAAAATAAGAACCAAGATACATTATGTAAAGGTACAAATTTCCAATGATGAATGTCATTATACTGTATACCTAAAATGTACCAATAAAATTACTTAAAAGGAAAAAAATTATGCTAGCACTTTGAAAAGTAAAATTTCAATCAGCTCATTTTCTTTTTCACCTAAACCTTAACATACATTGTAACTAAAACACCTACTGTAACTTAAGATCCACTATTAAGAAAAAAAGTTAAAATTTTTGCTTACCCATGTCAACTGCATTTCTAGTTGATGATGAAGAATTTGATCCTACAATGAACAGTTTTGCTAAGTAACAAAGAAAATAAAAGTGATTACATTTTAGGTACGTGCTATATAATATTAACATTATAAATACTCCTGAATGAATTATTTTTTCTTCCCTAGTAACATAATTTCACAGTTTTCACCTTAAGACATAAAAGCAAACTGGTGTGGTGCCATTAACTGTGATCCTAGCATTAGGGAGGCTGAGGGAGGAGGACTGCAAGTTCAAGGCCAGTCTGAGGTATGTAGCAAGACCTTGTCTTGTTGAGAAAAACAAAAACAACAAAGAACTAAGACACAATTGCCTATTTCCACTGTAATTTCTAATTATATATTAAACAACTATTTGTCAAAACTAAAAGCAAATATTAATTTCCTATTTATAAAAGGTAGGTCAGATAAATATAGGAGTATTTAAATACTTGAGATGTACATTTTTATGAATTAAACATTAATCGGGCATATTATATGCTTTCTCCACTAAACTAAAAACTACACAATCTGTAAATTAAACTGTGTTGTAATGAGAAGAAAATTTTAAAAAACCACAGTCCTACCTTCCCAATATAATCATTTTGTTTTTCAGATATAACCTTCCAGGTTTTGGAAGCAAGTTACAATATTTTTTCTATTTGTTTGATTTACATTTATGTAATAAGTATTCTGCATCTATTTTGTGTAGTACTTTAGTTATCTTAAAATTTTTATTGTAATAGTAATGTGCTTATTCTAGATATGAGGAAAATCTATAGAAGTAGAAAGACCAAAGAGAATAGCCAAAGGTCTCATTACCCCAAAAAATTACTATTTAGATGTTTTACAGTCTGTGTTTCTAATGTATAATTTTACATACTTTTTAAATACTTGAATATTATTCCATAATTTTGATAGTGTAGTTTACTAAATTGAATTCCTATTTGTTTAACATTTAGGTTTGCAAGTATTTTGTTATAGTCCCAGTTTTCTGTTATCACATATAAACACTAAAACATCTTGGTAACTTTTTGTTTTTTTGTTTTTGGTACTGGGGATCAAACTCCCTGGACCTTGTGCTTGTGCAGTAGGCGCCGGAATCGCTCAGCTAAATCCCCGGCCCTCTTGGTAACTTTTTGTTCAATTTTATTGTATCAAGTTTTTTTGTCTTTTTTTTTTTTGGTACCAGGGCTTGAACTCAGGACCTTGCGCTTACAAGGCAACCGCGGTGGCACTGAGCTAAATCCTCAGCTCTTTTTGTTCAATTTTATACTGAATCATTTCCCAAGGATGAATTCTCAGAAATGTGATTATAAGCCAAAGGTCCTGAACTTTGTGAGTCTTGTTGTGTTTTATTTACCTATTTTATGACATCAACAGTTAAGAGCTGCTCTCCTAACAATATAGGATGTTCAATCAGTATAGTCTACGCAAATATTCCAAGATCTAAAAACTTCTGAAATCTGAAACCCTTCTGGTCCCAAGCATTTTGGGGTAAGAGAAACTCAATATGCACTTTAAAAAAATCCTTTAAAAACACTTAATAGGTATAATATGCACCTTGCCAGGACATTATGTGGCATTTCTTTAGTTGCCAGGGAAGTTGAATAGTTTTCAATGTAGAAAAGTTATATATAGGTAACACTGAGGTTGGTTTGATTTAAACTGAACTTTATATATTTATTATATATTTACTGTTCAAAAACCTAAATTTACTCAATAGACAAATAGGTAGAGTAGTAGAAGAGCAAGAAAAAAAAATGGAAAGGGAACTAGGAATACAGATAACGAATCATTATTATGTAAGATGACTGGTACTCAACTTATGCAACAAAAGTGCTTGTATGACAGTTCTTATATTTGTCCCTTAATTTCCCATGCTAGATAAATCTTCCTAAAACACTGTTTTCTTCACGTTACTGCTCTACTGAAAAGCCATCACAAGTCCCCTCCCAGATGAGTCAGTCAGTCTTTACCACTACAGTCCAACCTAAATTCCCATAATTCTACTCTGTCAAAGCCCTCCCCATCTCTATTCCTCAGTCCATGAGTTTGTGCCATGTGAAGTAACCTCCTGTCTCTGAAAGATGAGGCATTTTAGACAGGTAGAAAGAGGAAAGTTCTTCAAACAAGTTCAATTTAGATTCCTATCAAAAATCTTAAGCTCTACAGGAACTGAGGACAATTTGTAAGAGGATCAAAGGTGAATCTACCTCATGAAGAATTACAATCAACCAAAGAATGCTGCTTTTACTTCCTTTCCTACACAAGCAGCAATGTGAAATTAACTGACAGAAATAGGTTAAGGAGTTAGGCATACCTAAATGGACTCATGGTTTAATCACTTATCTGGTGTATGACAAATTTCTTTTCTTTTTTCCCTTTTACTAGATAGGATTTTGAAATGTTGCCTAGGCTGGCTCTGAACTCCTGGGCTTAAGCAATCCTGCATCAGCCTCCCAAGTAGCTGGTACTACATGTACAACTGTGCCCAGCTGTATGACAACTTTTAGTTACTTACTGTCACTAGTGCATAGGGCATAAAAGATCTGTCTTGCAGGCTTGTTTTGATAATGAGAAAATATAACCATAAAGTGACAAATACAGTGTCTGACATAAAGCAAGACTCAACTGGTAGTAATAGACAATGCCCTATCTCATCTTACATGTCCACCTCAATAATAATAATGACAATAAACAGTGACCACAATAATAACATGGTAATAAATAACAGCACTTACTTTGTGGCAAACACTGTGCTACAATGTCTTTATTGCAGCCAACTTACAAAGAAGCCCATGAATTGTATCTCTGCTTCAGAGATGATGAACTGGAGGCTCAGAGAGGTTAAATATTTTGTTAGCCCAAGATCATACCAGCCGATAATCTGCACATCCAGGAATTTCAATCTAGGTAAGCTCAAACTCTGCGTGTGTGTGTGTGTGTGTGTGTGTGTGTGTGTGTGTGTGTTTATTTCTTGGGATTGAACCCAGGCCCTTTGCCCTGAGCTACATCCCCAGCTCCCCCTTTTTTTCCAGACAGGATCTCACTAAGTTACCCAGGTGAGACTCAAATTTGCAATCTTTAAGCCCTAGCCTCCCAAGTGCTAAGATTTCAGGCACATACCACCATGGCCAGCTCAAGCTCAGATTTTATTGACAATGTTATGTTGACTACAAACTCAGGATAGGAGCAACACAGGTTTCATTATTTCTGGAATACAGTAATCACTACATGTTTTCTTTTTCTCCATGCAACTTGTTCAGACTTCTTTCTATACTTCCAGGGAACCACAGTAATTGGTTACTATATCCCACAGGAAGGGAGGGTTTATGTTTGCTTTGGGTAGCTACTGCTCCTAAGCCTTCCCTTTATCCTTTTCATTTCCTTTTTTTATTGCTCTAAATATACATAATTTTATAAGAATATCATAAATAGCAAGCTGAAGTTCTACTGACTCCACTGAAGTAGTATTAACTTCTATAACTCCCTCTTAAGAGTTGACATTAAAATTTAAAAAGAATGTTTGTATTTCCCACACTTCCTAATATTGGGATTTAGATCCAGAATTTCCCCTAAAAGTCTTATGTATTTGGAGGTAGGGCTCTCAGAAAGTGATTGGAGCAGGGGGCATTATGGTCATCAGTGGATTAATGTGCTGTTAGGAGGTGGGGACTGGTTGGATGGGTAGATCACTGGAGATGCGACCTGGAAGAGTATATTCTTGTCCGTGGATCTTCCCTTCTTTACTTCTTGGCTGCCATGAGGTGAGTAGCTTTCTTCTGCCATGTTCTTCGTCACTGCCATTTCTGCCTTAGACCCAGTGGACCATGCACAGACTGAGCCCTCTGAAATAATGAGCCAAAATAAGCCTCTCCTTTGAATTGTGGGTAGAGGGCATTTTGTCCCAGCAATGGGAAATTGACTAATACAGAGAATATGTCACTCATTACTAGAAGTGAAGAAAGGCTTATTTCCATGCCTGACAAAACCTCACTGTGTTAGTTACATTTCTATCATTGCTGAGACAAAATATCCAGCACCAAAAGTTAAAGGGGAAGGGGTTTATTTGGCTTACAGTTTGTAGAGGTTTCAGTCCAGTAATCAACTGGCTCCAAGGCTGGGATGGCAAACAAGCATCACAGAACAGAAACAACATGGTGGACAAGGCAGCAAAGGTAACAAGAGACGTTCACCAAGTCTTTCTGCCTCTTTTATCTCATCCAGACTACCAGGATTAGGGCAGTGCCAAACTAATCACTCACATTTACTGGTTTAGTAATCACTCGCCCTTAACCCCAGCATCACACATTCCAGATTCAACTACCTCTGAAAAAGAAAGTCCCACCTCATCTGCATGAGGCTTTGGGGGGACATCGAAACACAAGCTATAACACTCACTACACTTCCACTGTGTAACAAAATGAACTGCAGAAGTTGAACTTTACCAGAAACTTTCATTTCTTCTCTTTCATCAGGGTTTATCTTCTCTATTGCATAAGATACAGTACACTCCAAGACATCTGGAAACTCCTGTAATAAACATGATATTTACAATAAATGTTAATGTTTCTGTTTAATTATACAATGTTCTATTGTCCATAATACACTTTAGAGCAGAGAGCCCACAGACAACAGAATTCCTTACTTGAGATCTACTGGACTTCACAAGGGTTGTACAGGCCTGATATAGAGGTGAAATGCTGTGTGTGTGTGTGTGTGTGTGTGTGTGTGTGTGTGTGTGTGTGTCCATTTTCTGGGAAAAAGATTTGATCAGGTATTCAAAAGGGTACAGCCTCGGGCCGGGGATGTAGCTCAGTGGCACTGTGCCTGCCTGGCAAGGGCAAGGTCCTGAGTTCGATTTCTAGTACCAAAAATAAATATAGGCCCAAAAGAAAAAAAAATTAGAAAACAAGCAGAGGAGGGACATGTGGGAAGTAAGAACCACTAGAATAGTAGATAATTTTACTAAACTTTTACATTAATCACAAATATTTTAAGAAATTTTTTTCATACCTTTGAATTTTAATGTCTTTCTTTGTTTAATCTGTAAAGGGATTATAGATGTCTTTTAACAAAAAAAAACTTTTTTAGAGCAATTTTAAGTTTACAACAATAGTGAGAAGGTACAGCGATTTCACTGTTTTTTTTTTCTTTTTTTCTTTTTCAGTACTGGGGATGAAACTCAGGACCTTGTGCTTGCCAGGCAGGTGTCGCACCACTGAGCTACATCCCCGGCCCTACCGAGATTTCTCATTCACCTCCTACCTGCACACATGCATAGCCTCTCCATTATCAATATCCTCATGAGAGATGTACATTTGCTGCAACTGATGAGCTTACATTGACACATTACAATCACCAGTTTGAGGGTTCACTCTTGGTAGTATACATTCTATGGACCTGGACAAATGTACAATAACATGTATTCACCACTGCAGTTTCATACAGTGTAATATCATTGTCATAACAATCCTGTATGCTCTACCCAATCATCCCTTCCTCCCGCAACCCTTGCAAATCACTGCTCTTTTCACTGTCTCCATAGTATTTCTATAATGTTAAACAGTTAAAATCAAATAGTACCCAGCCTTTTTCAGATTGACTTTTTTCACCTAGTAATATACATTTAAGGTTCTTCCATGTCTTTTCATGGCTTGATAGAGCATTTCTTTTTAGCATTAAATAACAGTCCGTTGTTTGGATGTACCAGTTTGTTTATTCATTCATCTACTCAAAGACATCTTGGTTGCTTCCAAATTTTGGCAATTAGAATAAATGTTTTATAATCTGTGTGCAGGTTTTTCATGAACATAAATTTTCAACTTCTTTGAGTAGATACCAAGGAGAAAGATTGCTGGTTCATATGACAACAGTATGTTTAGTTTTAGGGTCACAAACATTTTAAGGTAAAACATTTCTTTTCCTGAGAGCAATTTTAAAAAAATCAAGGGCCATTCTAATGCGTTATAATAAATTATGAGAATACAATAAAATGTTAGTATATATCAGTCAGAAATATACTAACTTATGTAACAAGATTTAACAAAACAAATAGTGGTTTTTCATGATTGGTGAGCATATTACAGTATCAGGAGTTCAGTAAGTGTTTAAGTCATGCAGAAATAGTCATTTCAGATAAACAGACATGATCATCAGTGTTTGCATAGCAACTACAGAGTTATAAACCTGCAGTAGGTCTTCCTGTATACTTTTAAAGTAGCCTAAGAAATTTGATAGAAGCCTTTGATGGAGCTGGATTTCAGGATATTTACAGAGATATTTTATATATTAACATTTACAATAATAGCCAGATACTGACATTTTATCAAATAGTTTTTATTTCATCAGAAACTGAAATTTTATAAATTATTTCTAGTAACTATATTACTATGGTAATAATCTACCAAAGCAATCTGTCAAGCAAAGTTGTCTGACAATTACTCCTCTACTAGACCAAATAAAACACTAATGGTGAAGAAACTAGCAGAATTATATAGGAGAATACTAGCACCTAGTCTGGTTGAAGAATTGACTCAGAGTCCACATTCTGCTTTTTGCTTAATCCTACTGGATAAGACTTTCATCACAGCAAATAAGCTACAAGAGGTTTTATGGCTAACTGCCTATTTGACGTCTCTCCTCAAACTAAGGAAATTAACTTCCTGCTTTTACTTCACTTCCTTTTTGACTGGCATAATTTCTGCATTCGAATTTCACTTACCTTGACCAAATCTGGGCTGATTTGAGAACTCCACTCATTCAAGGTCTTTTGGATACAATCTCGAAGCTGCAAAAGGAAGGTATTTTGAAAATGTTAATCAAACTCTATGTTCCCCCATACTTCTACAATAAAAATGCCTTGATTTGAGAAGCTAAGCAGACAAAAAAATATAAATAGGGAACACCATGCAAACTCCATGTTAAATTCTACATGGTTTTTGTTTCCTTCAACATAAATTAAGACCTGTTTTTATTCTACTCTTAATTCTTAAACATTTTTTTACCTAAAGCAGCAGTCTACTTATTTTCATAGTTTCTGCACCAATGAAACTTTAAGTAAACCTGAGACATAAAAGCATTCATAAAGAAACAAAAAAATTATTTTAAGAATAAGCAGAGGAAATTTGATTTAAGACAAGAGCATAAATTCCTATTAGCCCCCTATATGCTACATTCCTCAAAAACAAACAAGTGACTAAGTGTAACCAGTTACTCCTACATTAGATCCACCTGTGGCACTTATTAAAGACTCAGACTCCTGAGCTCAATCCTAGACTTGCTCAACACTCTTTAAGAACACAGAATTTTCATTTTAACAAGCATCCCAAGTAATTGCTATGTACTCGAAAATCTGAGAACCAGCAGATAGACATATTTGGTAGAGGTCAACCTGCATAATGACAGTCCATAAGCTATTTCCTAATACTTAGGTACACCTTTAACCTGTCTTCAATGTTTTCCTGGGTAAACAAATATTTTCTGCTAACATTTTAAATTCATTAATGTGTTTTATCTACCTCTTATGTCTATGTTTCAAACTTGCCTGACTGTGGCCCAAACTAAGACAAATATTCACTTAGTGAATGAAAACTCATATTCATATAAGAGGACAAAATTCACAAAAGTTATTTAAGCTTACTCCATGCCAACCACTCTAGTGGCATCTATTCTATTAGAAGAAAAAAAAATGCTGTTGCAGGACACACTGAAATAATTTACTACCACTAATTGGCTAACACTAGCAGTTTGAAATCACTGCCTTAAAGATAACCAAGGTCACAGTGTAGGTAATCAATGAAAAAAGAAATGAGTAACAAGAAGCAAGCCTCTAAATTGCAAAAGCATGTTCTTAATAGCAACAACAAAGTCTAAACTTCTGAACTATCTAAATTATGACTACTTATGATAAACGTTTTTTTACCACTTCCATCTTAGTACAGATAATGAAAAAGGATAACTGGTTTATCAATTTTAGGTCACAGAACCACGTATGTTAGTATTTATAATCTAAAATAATAATCTGTGTGCTATCCACAATAACCCACTTCAAGTTACCAGGTCTATACTTTTGTGGAAAGTGCATTTATAACCAAACTGATGTCAGTAGATAAAAATTAGTTCATAATCCTTCCAGATAGAAATTACAAGTCATTTAAAAAAAATCAATAAAATGTTGAGGCAGTGGGACTAATTAGATGTTAACCATCCTATCAGGAGTGGTTTGGTTTAAATCATGACAAAATTCTAAGATATTTTCCTCTAGAAGAATGAGTCATTTATGTGCTTAAGGATTTCCTGGTGAATTCACCAATTCAGGAAAACAAATATATTTTCAGAGTATCCACTCATTTCTTGAAACTACCTTCTGAATTAATCTTGGATTCTGCAAAATTTAAGACAGCCAGGCATGCTGGTGTACTCCTGTAATCCATAGCACTATGGAGGCTGAGACAGCAGGATCACTGCAAGTCCAAGGGCAGCCTTCACTATATAGTGGGTTCAAGGCCTGCCTGAACTACATAGTGAAACTCTGTCTCAAACAAAGCAAGACAAAACAAAACAATTCAAGACAAATGACAGAAGAGTTCAAAAATAATTACATGAGGATTCATTGAGTATATCACAAACCTAATGTTTTTTAATCTTGTAAGTTACATGTTATTTATATTGGGTGATCATTAACTTTTTGTTTTGTTTCCTGCTCTTCATTCTTATCATACACATAGAGTATTACTAAAGAAAAATATCACAATCTAGCCATCATTAGATCTGGAGTTGTATAATAATTTTTTTAAATTACCTTCTTAAAGAAGTGGACAGAAGTCTTGTAATGACCCATTTAAAAACAATATTTGACCCTAAATGAAAACAAATATTGATTTCAGAGCCAGGCATGATGGCCCAAACCTATATTCCCAGCACTACTTAGGCTGAGGGAGGAGAATCAATAGTTTGAGGCTACTATGGGGTACATAGCAAGTTCAAGGCTGGCACAGACTACATAGTGAGACCTTGTCTCAAAAAAAAAAAGTTGATTTCATAAAATTCTAGTGAAACACAAAAATCTGGGCAGAGTCACAGAATCAAAAAAACATTACAGAGTGAAGCTCAGCCGGTCCCAGTACCTGGAAGGAAGCTCCCCCGCTGTCAAACCAGGCTCCTAGGGCCAAGAAGGTGAGCCGGTCCCAGCACCCAGAAGGAAGCTCCCCACCTCCATCCCAGGCTCCTAGGGCAGTGAAGCTCAGCTGGTCCCAGCACCCAGAAGGAAGCTCCCCACCTCCATCCCAGGCTCCTAGGGCAGTGAAGCTCAGCCGGTCCCAGCATCCGGAAGGAAGCTCCTGCCTCCATCCCAGGCTCCTAGGGCAGTGAAGCTCAGCTGGTCCCAGCACCCGGAAGGAAGCTCCCCCGCTGCCATCCCAGGCTCCTAGGGCCAAGAAGGTGA